TCTAATATTTTATAGTTTTTATTATGTTTTGAATAATATATGGTAAAATGATCTAATAATTTTCAATTAAATATATATATTTTTGTATTTGAAAAAAACTTGACTACTAATTATACATACATACATATATATATATATATATATATATATATATGTATATATACACACATACATACAAAGACTATAGAATCTATAATTAAGAAATCCTGAATTTCATCAAAAGATTTAATTCTAATCATTTATTTAAAACTATAAATTTTTATTATATATTATTTATTATTTATAATAATTTATAATAATTTATAATTATAATTTTAAAATCAAATATTTCTTTATTGCATTAAAAATACTTTTATAATAATTATCACATGTGAAATTTTAGAATCTTAAATAATTTCTAGAATATATATCATTAATATTTTTAGAATTTTTATTAAATATGAAATAATTTGATTCATTCTTTGAATTTTATTTTTCATTAAATAATAGTGATTAATTGCATATTTATTTTATAATCCTTTAAATTTTTTTTTTGCTTATATATGATTGTTGATGCCAAATTTCTTCAGGATTACATTTATATTTATAATGATTTTTTTACAAAAAATTCATTTGTGATTTGCATCATTAAGATCTTATACATAATAGTTGATTGATTTTGTGTAATGACTATCATATATTGTTTTTTAAGAAGTATTAGTTACAGATTAAGAATATATTGTATGAAGAAAAGTATGCCTATTTTTTCCTTGCCTATTTTTTTCCTTATTCCATTATATTGAAGGAAAAATAGTCTATTTTATAAATACAAAAACTTATAATGATTAAATATATACATGAGATAATATTTTATTTTAAATAATTATTTTTAGTAATTTATTTAAGAACTTCAAAAAAGATTGATTGTTTTTTACAATATATAGATATTTTTGTACTAGCTTATTGATTTAAAAGTAACTTTATGGCATAGTATAGTTTTTGAGGTTTATTTATTTATTTTATGATAAAATTACACTCAATTGATTATAAAAAATATATTGATTCTAAAGTCTTATATGAAATTAAAGTAACTTATACTATAGTTAAATTAGGAATTTAAAAAATTAGATGTCTAAGGTGGTTTTTAAAAAAATAAATTTATATTTATATATGTTAAGTATTTTAAAATATATTGTAAAAACACATCTTTTTGTGTGCTCATTTCTAAGTCAGATCTTCTGATCTTATTTTCTTTTTGCAAACTGTTTTTTAAATTATATAATATTTTTTTATATTGATTTTTATTTTGCTTTGGTTTATGGAAGAATTATAAATAATTACAAATTATGGTTATAGTTTCTTTTCTTTTCTTTTCTTTTTAAGGTTTTATCTCTTGTCATTAACTAAAATTTCAAAAATTTAATTTTAGTTTGTGTATTTGCAAAAAATGTGGCTATATATAGATGCATATGAACACTATAGAATAGATAATAGAAGAATAATAAATTTTATCAAAAGATTTATTTCTAATCTTGTTACTCAATCCTAAATTTATATAATTTTTTATGTATATGTTATAATATATATACATATTTTCATATATTATATATGTAATATATATGTTCATTTATCAATGTTTAAATTTTAAAATATAATAAAATTATTCAATAAATGTTTTTGACATTTTTAGGGTTTTTTCACATATAAGTGTAGCATATAAATTTATTATTTAAAAATCTAAAATGAAATCTTCTAGATGATTCAAAACCACATTCATGATAGAATCTCTGAAATATAATTACAAACACAATTCTAATGTAAAAGTTTTAATACATATTAAAAAAATTAATTGATATGTATTTGTAATTTTTGTGATATCAAAATAATCAATAGAAATATATTTTTTAATAATTTAGTTTTAACTAATTTTTTTAAGGAATAATAAAATTAGATATCCAATATATATATATCTTAATAATTAAGGAGAGACCACTGTTGTCTTCCAAAGCTTTTATCATTAAATTATAGAAATGTTTGAAAAATTTATGAAGTGAAAATAGTATGTTATCAGATTAAAGGAAGTAAATGTTAGATTATTATAGAAAGGACTAAACAAAGCAGAAAGTAGGCAATCTATAAACTAACGAACTAAATATGTTAAATTCTAAAAAAGAATGACACACCTGTATTAAAAACTAAAAACCGCATCCTTAATTACCAAGGATTCAAAACCAATTAAAATTGAACTGATCTGCATTTATTTTTAGAAAACACTTTGTTTGGTTTCATGTTTCATATTAAAAAATTAATAAAAGATTGGTAGATGGAAAATTCTTAGAGCAAAAAAAGAAAAAGAAAGAAAGAATAGTAGAAGAAGAAGGAAGACCAACATAATATCATCAGAAAATCCACAATAGAATTTAAAATGTTAAAGAGAAAGGAACAAATCAAAACATTATTTGTCAAGAATAATTATGTAAATACACACAATTATACAAGGTTTCTTTTTGTCTTGTCCCAACTTCAAAACTAGTAACAAGCAAAACAGACTCTCACGGAAGTGCATACAAATGTAGATTTTCGGTAAAGAAAATCAACATGGACCCAGTTGAAATTTTTAAGAGATTTTCAAGTGAAACCAAATCTATTTCCACCAAGGGCACATTCAAATTGTTTTGATATCAACAATTCCATGATCCTCTTATGAAAGAGGTTCACTAGATCACGTCTTCTTTCACAGTTGGTCACACATGAATCACCAGAAAAATGGTCGGAGATCAAAAAAGGAATGGTTGGAGCACATTCAAAGGCCAACAATCTAGACAGAGGTTGGGGGTTCGGCGAACCATCCACTGTCTGGCAATCCGGGCAACCTCACACAGGAAATGCAGGGATTGTTGGAATTGCAACACAAACACCGAAATGACGGAGACGAAAGTGGTTACTAGATTCATCTGTTTCTGTGGACCAGTCAGTGCACTTTTGACTCCCCCATTCTGCACACTGTGGTTCGCAGAACATGACTAGATCGATCAAATCTCATGGCTCAGATTAGATGGATGCTAATCGGGCAATAATCATGATCTCGAGTTTTGCAGTATCGAATCGGAAGGAAATGATCTCTCACATGTTTTTTCTCATTTGGGGGATGTGTGGAGCAAGATTAGAGCGTAGGAATAGAATCCGGATTAGTTGTGGTGACATAACTTGCGTAGTGTGCAGGTTACAGTTTGGCTCGCCGAAATCAATGGAGTGATTGTGCGTGATTGCCGCATTCATTCTTATGAAAAAAGCACAGAAAAATTGGTCACGTCGCTTGTGGGAATGCATATCCGTACGTTTGAGAGAATATGGGACTGGACAAGCTCTGAATTTCACAAGCTAGTAAGTTCTCGACGACAGTGTAGCTCGTTGCCGGCCGTTTTGACTCCAACACGAGATTTCGTGATGGAAGAGATGCATTGGAGATCTTAAAGATGCTCACATTGTTGGGACTCCCTCCAAGAGATCGCGAATGGGAAATCTCAATGCTTCGCAACGCCGACCTCTTCTAGGAAGATTTACGAATCGACAAGACAGTGGTAGAGGAGCTGTGGGAAAAATTCAAGGGAGAGAAACTCGCCTAGTATCCAGATAACAAGGAGCGACTGCTGCATGGTGGGTCTGAGTATGGATTACCGAAAGAATATTCGGTAGAGAGCGAAACATGCAAACAATGTGGTTTCAAGTGGTGTTACTGTATGCTCGTTGTCAAAGTAACACGTACTTGGACGTTGCACCACCCTTTGGTACACACAAGGAGGACTGCGTGCAATATAGCAAGGGAGTGCTTTTTATTTTGTTCACGAGTATCCCGGTTGGTATCCGTCACATATGTTGTAACACACCAATAAAAAAGTTAAATATTGACAGATAAACAAATTGGTAAGCGAACATGGGCAACGAACATTCAACCCTGCAGTATTCGTCCTGAATGGTTCTCATATCATCTGCGTTTCACGTGGACCTGATTCATGACCACCGATGAAAGTAGCAACATTGGGACATGAGATGCGGTAAAGATTGTCAATGTAATTTAAGACGATTTTTGTCTCTGAAAGGGCTAAAATTGTCGCTCACTTTTTCCGAGCCCCGATTTTCAGGATTGATTTGACTTTACCAGAACTTTTCGTGAATTACAATTTTCGTGAGAAAAAGATGAGAAAATTCCGGCGAGGTCAGCATCAGTTTCATGAGTTGGAATCTAGACCCTTTGTCCTAAGCACTTGCACTGAAAGCGGTAGAGATAGGGAGGGAGCAGATGATAATCTGAGTGCAAGTGGCTCGTGTGGGACGAGCTTGTTCGATAAACCTGCATCACAGAGGGCACTGCAGAGCAAGTGTTGTCATCTTCGACGATCAGGTTGCAGGAAGCGTGGTGGAGAAGCAGCTCCAGGTTGCCCTGGTGCTGGCAAGCTTTTGTCTACACGCACGGTGTCTGTTATGGTTGCTGGCTTATCTGGTAGAAGTCGACGCGTGACGCTGAAGCTCAAGGGTTTGGCAATGAGGATCAACTTTGGCACCTGGCGGTTGAGACCGTGTAAGAGTAGTATTATCCTGATCGATCATTAGAAGGATTCGGATTCAGTGAAAGTAGTCCGAACAGCGATAAGCGTATCGATTGGAAGGCATGCGGCGGAGTGGGTAGAAAATTCAGTCATTTTTCTGCGTATAGAGGAGCGAGTTGATGAGGGTTGATATCTGGAACTAGTCCATCTTCTAAGCCGGTGATTGAGGGAGACAAGGAGCTCCTTTCATCATAGTACCTGCACATCAGCTGATGCTGCAGTATGTATGTTGTGCAATTGATAAATTGACGAGAATTTTTCAGCATCTACAGATCTTTCGTGCCCATAGTCTTGGGATTGTAATCGTGTCTACAAATTGTCTATGACTGAAGCTGGTATTAATTCTATGCAAAGGTTTAACTCATCAGTAAACCGGTTTCAGAAAAAAGAAAAACACGCAGGTACTTCATGCTGTTTAGAATTTGATGGTAAATTTTGAAAACATTGGTGCATAATTTAAGGAAAAAGTTACAACCAGCGGGTAGCTTGTCGAGTTTCAGGGATTCGTCGAAGGGAAAATTTTGGAAACGTCAGTAAGTAAAATCCATGGTTGGAAATTTACTCTATGTTGCTGTTGATTTGTGATGGACATTGTTAAGTGCCGAGTACCACAAGCTTTAGCAACGTAAAGCTTTAGACTCTGATACGATTTTAGGTCTGTGGAGACGTATTTACAGGACCGACGGCGAGTCATGCGCGGTTTCTGGGAGTGAACTATCACTCTTGTGAACTCATTTTTTCTCTTTCTTTTCTCTTTAGTCAGTCTCCCGGTTAGTTCACCTTTCTCCATGGTCATTCAGTATTCCTCACATGCCGTTCCTGATGTCATTGACACTTTGATGTGCGTTCTTGTTACTGGAGTTCACACAAGTGTCGTAAATGAACATGGTGTACGCACTTCAGACCATCAGTAGACTTAATCTCCGCTCATAAGATCATCTTTTAGCCATTTTCGCAAGTAGCTGGTGAACTTGTCTGAACAAAATTCATGTCTTGTGTGGGCATTATTGTGGTAACCAGTGCAGTACAACGTCGAGGAATGGGCACAAGATCAAGTACACAAAACCAGTACAGCACCAAATGGTGCTTTCTTCCATCATCATGTCTGCAGAAGCTTACCATTAAATCGCTGTCGCGGTAGCAAAAGTTAAGGCCACACTTGAATTCCGCTGCAGCACTTCCACGGAACTTTTTCTGCCCTGTAAGTTAGGTTAGTCCCAAAAGTAATGTACCCACAGCATCAATTTTTTGGGGCCAACCTAAATGTCAGAGCCTTTTCGCATGTCTTCTCTTCCTTGCATACTTAACCTTTGTTTGGACGTTTCAAAGCGGAATCCGTGCGATGTCTCGAAGGATTCTTCGCATTGAAAGAATGATACTATCCTGAAGATCTACGAACAAGGGTACTTCCGGAGGAGTCATGAAAGGGGGAGTCCTGCGAGCGTACTCCAAGTAGCTTGAGCTTCAAGGACCGAGCTCCGCAAAGTACGACGCTTCTAGGCCTAGCCCAACCAAAGTCAGTGCTGCCGGTCAATAGCCACAACCGACCCAGTCCATCGCCGTGGTTGAAAAATTCTCGCCCGCCCTATTTAGAGATGTAACAACAAGGCAAGCTTATCGAAGTCCTTCAAACTGGTGTGAAAGCGAGTTGATGACTTGCGCACCGACAAAACTGCTGACCGCATTCACTCATATTTTTACTCAAGGCATTAAAAATGTTCCATATCGTGTCACACAAGGTACCCAGTGATTGAAGCCATCTCGGAAGGTACTTAACCCAAACTTTGGACCTTGCCTGAAGTTTCTTTGCAGGCTGTGGAGTATTGAAGCTGGGTGTGGTTTCAAGTTGAGGGTATACTTTCGGTTGATGAGGTGGTTTCCGATTATAATCGAGGATATTTTACACTAACACTCCAAGCTTTGTGGATTGGGCTCCAATCATGGATCTATTGGGGTGAGTTTGAGTAGTGGACAGGCACATGTTACTACAGACTTAAACTACCGCACAAGAAAACACTTGAGTATGCCTAGGTTTGACAGGGGTGCATCTCTTAAGGAAAAATAGGGCGTCTGGAATTAGTAACTCGAGAGTATGAAGGTAGCGCCAGAAATTGTGACAGCAGCAGACCATCGAAGCACGAACAGCGGTCGACTGCCCTCGCAAACCCTGGCGCTAGTCCGAGAGGGTTCTTTTATGAAATGCAGGGGGAAGACGCGACAGATGAACGAGGATGTTGGTCCGCGAGTACTGGGTCTCCGGTAAGAAGGTGCACTTCTGTCGACAATAGCATGCCAGAATGCTCAAGGGTGGTTGAAAGCCCCGTCAAGAGCACTGCCACATGCATGAGTGCTCCATCAGCTTTGCAGTGTTCGAATACTAGTAGCGACGGCAAAACACGCCGATATGTCCGCTCTAATGTGCCTCGCTTGAATTGGACCGATGATCTCCGTCGTTGCTTCATACGCGCCATTGAAGAGCTTGGTGGCCCTCAAAGTGAGAAAATCAATCTACTTAAAAGTTCTTCTGGTACACGAATAGGACTTGATAGCTTATCTGGCGTTACAATGATGACTAGATGTAGTAGTTGAGATCTTCCGAACAACGAACCAAATTTTATGGAATCTCTGGCATAATGAGGCCGTAAGAACAGGATATACAATTAGAGAAGTTAGGAATGTAAGCACGTACATCATGTATGAAGTCCCTGACGTTTCCATTGGGGATGAACTTGTGCAGAAGCCACACCGAAGGCCATACTGCACACGATGAATGTCAGCGGCCTTAAGATCGCACATATCAAGAGTCATCTTCAGGTTTCTTCTCGTGTAACATAACAATTTGTGCACTGAATGACATTCACTTCTTTCTATGAATGTGCCGTGTCGAGACTCACCGACGTTACTAGCTGATTGGCGCGCAGATGTACAGGAATCCCAGAAGCGCAAAAGATTCCAGCCCCCGATTTGGTACGTATTGCAGATCATTTGTTTGCACTGAACTAAGTGAATTGTGGAATTGAGCCAAAGGTGGTGTCTGGAGAACTAATAGTATCTCTCATACAGATTGATGCACTGATTCAATGATTATGAGTGATTGGATTACTGATCCTCATCTTTCTTGTCTACATCAAGACATGCTTCCCAGAACTGTTCCACAGCGATAATTTCCCCTTTCTAATCTGATACTTGAGGCGATTGAGCACTAGGTTTCTTGTTTTCCACAAGCTTTTTCTCTTACGACAGAATGCTTCAATGCGCTAGTCTCTGGATCCTCAAGATCCTTCAGTGGCGAATCAGGAGTTTGGAGCTTCTTTGTGAACAGATGTTGTACTTTTGCAGATTTATTTAGATCAAATCTGCAAATGCAAACCACGAGTAGAGATTCCAACTGTGAAGTGGAAGGTCCATGGAAATCGTGGGAGAGGGAAGCTGCAACTGTTGAGACCTCGTATGCCAAGGACTACTATGCAGAAAGTTTCACTTTGGGCGTATCGACGCCTGTACAGCTCAATCATACAGGCCAATGTGGAGGTAATTTTGCTTCATTATCACCATCTCAGAGAAATGATGTTTCAATCAAACCTGCTGACGCCAGACCTGCATCAGCGTCCACAATATCAGCACACCCAAATACTTATGACCTACTTGAGGTACGTCTAGGAGATTCAGTCGTGATAGTTTTCTTTAAATTGCTGATCTAGCATATCAATGTTCATAAACCAGGTTAGAGTTTTGTTACGGACCCTGCATTTAGAGGATCTACAACTTTTGACCAGTATCCATGTTTTGCAGATGCGGATTGACGGTGATAATGAGCAACTGGCAAGCGAGCTGATGTTGGCCACACGCCAGCGAAGCCAGGTTGAAATTAGTGCAGCGTGGAATGAGCAGCCGCGCGTGCAGAGTCGTGACAGCCGAAATGATTTGACGTTATCGAATGCTCCGCTGGAATTAACTATGTCTCTGCAGCCACCACAGCCGCATCCTGACCCATACGTGAGGTCAGAAATTTTGACCCTGGATCTCACGCAACAGTTGAACCGACCACGCTTAGAGCCGCCCCGATAAGCTTTTGAATTTGAAGTAGTGACAGGTCCAAATTTGTCGCGAGAAATATATGGCCACTTGACTCTGTGATTAGTGTAGTTGAAGTAGTGCCAAAACATAATAAAGCATGAACCATAGTAGTAGCAGAATTGGCGGTGTGCTGCTTGTGAGTTCACATTACTTCCACTTGGTTAATTTCCATCCTTAGAGTACCCATTATTATCAGAAACATTTGATATATAGAATCGATGTGCAGGTTGGATGAGACTCAATTGTAATTTCTAATTCACAATGAAAATGCATATATTTCTATATGGGCATGCACCGAAAATTCTCTATAATTAGCCAGGATCAGATCCGCAAAAGCCAGCCCATGTTGTCTTACAAAACACCGACTCTTTAGCCATGTTTCAGGCTACAAGTTCATGCGTCTGGTTCCATGCAGTTGGCTTTGTCGGCCATGACATGCCACCGTCCACCTCCACCACGGGTGAAATGGCACCAGCAGTGGGGTGCGGCCATGCCGACCACGGTTCCGAAGCCCCACCATTGATTCGCACGAGCTTCATCTTGCTATGGTTCCCTCAGTTGTCTATTAATCACATCTTAATGCACTGTAATCGCCCTGAGGGTCCAAGTGATTCATTCAACCTTCGGCTGCATGTTCCAACAGCGATTATTCTTCACAGGCTACATGTAAAATTTCTGCACAGGTTCCTCACAGACCAAACAAGGCAATGAATTTTCAAACTCCGTTCAAATATCTCCACATACTCTCCATGTTCACCAAATATGAAATTCACGAATGACATTCACATAGTGGCGAACCCCAAGCATTATAATCGATCTATTCAAACTTCATGAGCTCAATTCCATCAGAAGCAGATTCTGGTCCAACTGAGACGAGAGAATGATTGACGGTACTCTGCGCTGTAACGAAGGCAGTTTGAAACTGATGGATTCCTGGACAGAAAATCATCCGCAACCTCGGGTGGCAACTGCTTGGCTTTCCCCAAGTCTGTGGTTATTCCGTGTTGCCGACTCCGCACGTGGAACCCACCGCAACCTACCCAACGCATGTCCACCACATGCATCACCATGACAAACCCCAGCATCGGCACAACTGCTACCATTGATAATAATAATAATAAACAAATAAAAAGAAGATTGTATTCCTTCCTCCGATCTTGCAGCGGTAAGATATTCGACTTGCGCCATGTATCCGCAACCCCACATGAACCAAAGCACGAACTAGCACACCGAATGGGCTATTTCTAGTGATTCCAGTTCCTACTTTTCACCGATCGGCGGTTGCGATCACATACTTCGACAGCAACAAACGGATACTTCGGTGGTGGGCCTGAAAATGCCGGCAAAGGCTCCTCCAGAAAAATTATAGCTAGACAGGCTCACAAGCCCACCTGCCGAAGTGGATAATGGTCACACATTGTATTGGTTTAATTTAGATGTTTTTGTGGTGCTGTGGGGGGGAGTGTCGTTAGAATCAACCAGAAGTTTCCGAGTTCCCCTAGTGTTTTTATTTTTTGCTGACTTATTTTCCAATTGTTTTGTTACTGTTTTTTCGATTCCTAGAAACGTGGAGAATATGGAACGGAATCAATGTCTCGTTGTCAGGTGTAGAGGGAACTTGCAGGGTCTTGTTGGCCACTAAACACTTCGGATGATAGTTTGATGAACATTCGGTTGTGCCCACCATGCTACAGTCCTTCTCTGAAAGTCAGATGATTATCCTGGTTTTTCTATATTTACTTCTCTCACATCATTATCATCATGATTTAGAATTCTAAAAGTGGTTGTACTTTATTGTGAGTTTTCTTTTCCTTATATTTGAGGGTGTCAAGCATGTGTTAAAGTTGGAGGATTATGTTTTGAGAACAGTGTTACTGGCCGATCAAAGTACAGTGAATTGTTTGCATTTTGACACTCTTCATCCAACCAAGCATTGAAGAGCTTCTCCCAACTTTCCTCAATGGCCATTTCTTTTTATACTAAATGGAGATGAAGGAGGTGAAGTGCATGTGCTTCCAACCCAATCACAATGTCAACTGGTATTCTTCATCTCCTATTAGGTAGTTGAATTTTCTAGGGAAATACATAGTGACTCATTGTCATTGGCTTTTTTATTTTCTAAATTTCTGTTCTCCCAATTATTCTTTTATGCTTGAAGCCTCCTATTGTTGTTCTTTTTTTAGTGCTTATTATGATAGATTTGGCTATTTTGTTTCATTAAATTTTATACATACATATATAAATATATTAAAATTGAATTGATATTCTTGATCCATAATTATTATAAGTAGAATTTTTAATTTTTAATTATAACAATTATTTTGAAACCACTCAATTAGATTGGATATAGTATACCTACTATTTAATTTAAATTTTAGCAATTCTTTTTTAATACCAAAAGAAAATAAATAAAAGACAAATAAATACTAATTTAAGATTCATAAAATTTTAATCCAAAAATAGAAAATAGGAGTTATAGCATGCAATCACAAAAATCTATATAAATTATTCTTTTTATTTAAATAAAGATTCATATTTTTATTTAATTTAGAAAACTTTTACTACATTTGCAAGTCTTTTAAAGTAAAATTTAGGACTAAAGTCTACATCAAATATATGAAAAAGTTTTTTCTAATAGCTTTAGATACTTATACCACAAGCCTTTGTCAATCATTTTTTGTAGATTAATTGTCTTTTAAATATGCTATTGTAATTGTCTTAGATTATAATATGATTTTAATATATATATATATATATATATATATATATATATATATATATATAAGTATATATTAGACATTTAAATTTTAAAATTTATGCATGCATACATGTCATTACTTTTATATATATATATATATTTAGGATCACAATATTTAAAGCTACTCTATATAAATAAATCTAGATAATTATAAAATTTTAACTTTTTTACTCTTGAAACTAAATAGTGATAATACCAAATCTATAAGATTTGAAATGTCATTTTGTCAAGGATATGAATCTCAAAGAATTAAAAAATCAATATACTCTTGTATCACTTAGAAATGACTAAAAAATCACTCAAAGATGATATAGTATTAAACTAAAATAGCTATTACCAAAGAAAAGAAGATTAGAAAGTCTTGAAATAAGACTAAAGACTAAATGAATATTGGCAAGAATGAAGAAGGCTTCACACTTGCCTCGATATAAACTCTTTAACTAAGAGCTATGTGGCGATCTTCTATAGGACCTCTTCTGTTTATTGATTTTATTAGACATATGTCTTAACTTACAAGAAAGTCATCTATGTGTGTGCCACATAATTAGCTTGTTCCACAAGCTACCAACATGTTGTTGAAATAGAGAGAGTTTGCCTTAAAAAAGCATAAGACTTCAAGCTATCACTAATTACTCAACTATATCTCAAGATAAAAAAAAACACTAAGTTTATATATAAAATTATTCCTATAGGAGCAATTACATCAATATATAAGCTTTAAGTACCAAAGATCACCAAAATTGTGATAAAAAAATTATAAAACCTTGTATATCTATAAAATGAATTTTTTTCAAACTTCAAGAAGTCATATCTCACGATTGGAGTGTCCAAACAAACCAAAATTTTACATAAAGTATTGATGTGCTTTTAAAAACTACCACAATAAATTCTAATTACAAATTTATTACACATCTTGAGATATTACCAAAACCTTAGTAATAGCTTCAAACCCTTACTTACATATACTTGTGTACAATCTTCTTTATATCTCACGAACTTACTTAAGTACCATAAAATTTTGATATATAGTTTTTTAACCTAATAACATACATTTTAAAAAATTTTGAGCTAAAAATTCGTCCAAAAACTTAAGATATGGCTCCAACCATTACTATCAACAAAATGATTCACTTACTACTTTTGAATCACATGTGTTGTTTTCAACACTCTATAACTTCTTCATACAAACTCCAAAGATAGAAGTACTTTCACAAAAGACATAGATCTTAAAATTATCTTTGTGGCGACATCTTTCAATATCCAAATTCTATCATAAAACTCCTTGTATCCCAGAAGAGCAATAATATGTCTTAAAAAGACATCTTAACTTCAAATGGCTATAACTTCATCACCATAATTCTAAATCTTCTAAAATTTATACATAAATTATAGTTCAAATCTTAAACCTTATAATTCTTGCTTTTGATTTTCAAATGCCTCTTTTTAAGTCGCCAAAACCTTTGTTATGGCCGTAGACAACCTCCTAAGAGTCTATTGGACATGGCTTATGACCAATAGGAGTGAAGATCTTTACTTTTTGCCTTCATTTATCCATACCTTACTTTTTTTTTCTTTCAAATAAGTTTCTTAGAGGTTTGAATCTTCATCTTTGAGTTCCAATCTTCTGAAATTTTATACTAAATATCTAAATTCTATATAACTTAAATATTATAATCAAAATAGGTAAACCTCAAAATAAATTTTTCTACATCAATTCTCTTTAAATTAACCTACTAACCATTTTAATACACATCAACACTTATAAATATATTATATATTTTAGTTAATTTTTACATATTACAAATAATTAAAATACAACAATGTATGATATGTGATTAATTTGTTGATCAAGTTTTCAATCTATCAATCAACTATAAACATATCTAAAGTCAAAATTACCTCTATGGTGCTTCTAGAAAGCTTTTTTAAAAGATATAATAAAATTAGTCTATATGTACTTATTTCTATCTAATTATATAAATAACTTTTGAAATAAATATGTATATCTATAATATTATATCCCTTCCTTAGGACAAGTTCCATAAGAAGCGATCATTATCTTTCATGGATCTTATAATTCTTCATCTTAATTTTGATAGATGTCATTGAGAAAAAGCCCCAACTTTCTTTGCTGCATTTATAAGATTCTTTTTTGGCCATATGCATTCAGTAATATCATATTTGCACCAATGAATAAGATATTCTAATTTATTTTGATTCCGCCTTGATTCTAAAACTTCATTCATTTCAAATTCTTGATTATTATCTATTTCTATAGGAGAAGACAACATTTGTCTTTTTTTCAAGATATTTATTATCTTATATGATTTAAAAAGAGACACGTGGAATACAAATGGTTCTTTATAAACTTTAGTAGATATAATTGATAAACAACATGATTGATTTATTCACAAACATGAAAAGATCCAAGCCTACAATAATCCAACTTGTCATAAGGATAAATAATGTAGATATTGTAATGAAATAATTGTATCTTGTCATCTACATTGAATTGTGGTTGTTCCT